CCAGAGGGTGCCAGCCACCCCGGTGCCCCCCAGCAGGGCAGGCCCAGTTGGACAGTCAGCACTGGGGAGCCCCGTGTCCTGCAGTCTCACCTGGTGGGCTCATCAAAGAACATGACAGGAGGGTTGTTCACCAGCTCCAGGGCGATGGCCAGGCGCTTGCGCTGCCCCCCCGACAGCGAGATGGTGCGAGTGTAGGAGCACTCCAGCAGCCCCAGGGCTGTCAGGATCTCATTCACCTGTGAGACAGCCTCATTCACCCTCAGCTCCCATCCCCCCTCCCCCCACCTCCCTTCAGACCTCCATTGCTAGGAGCCCCTCACCACCCCCTGGTCCCCTCGGAGACCTCCCTTCGCTCCTGTCCCCACCCTGGGGAGAGATAAAGGGGCCTGGGTCCACGTTCCTCTGCACTTACCAGCTCCTTCTTCACCTCCTGCTTCTCACTCAGCTTCAGGTTAGCAGAGACCTGCAGGGAGAGATGACCATCAGGTGCACTGAAAGGGTTGTCAGTGACTGGAACAGGCTGCCCAGGGAAATGGTTCAATCACCATCCTTGGAGGTATTTAAAAGATGGCTAGATATGATACTTAGGGATATGGTTTAGTGGTGACCTGGCAGTGCTGGATTAATGGCTGTACTTGATGATCTTAAAGGTCTCTTCCAACCTAAAGGATTCTATGAGGGCTGGGAGCAGCAGCTCAGGATGAAGGCAGCAAAAACAGCAGGATTTTGTTCCCGTGTCCCAAAGCCCTTGGAAATACCTGATGTCAGCAGCGTGGGCTCAGTGCCCGAGGACACAGCCCAGGGGATGACCCACAGAGCCCATGAGGCCGACTGGCTTGTGCATCACTCACCATCATAGCCTCCAGCACGGTGAGGTGAGGCAGCAGCATGTCATCCTGCATGATGTAGCAGGACATCTTGCGGAAGGTGCGCAGGTCCCGGGGCCGGCCGTTCACCAGGATCTGGCCCTTCATGCCAGTCTCCCTGCAGGCAAGAGGGGTGGGGGGATGCAGAACAGGGCACCCAGCCCCGCACCCCCAGACCTGTTGGCTTTCACCCGGCCTCACCTGTAGCCAGCCAGTATGTTCATGAGGGTGGACTTCCCAGCACCCGAGGGGCCCATGATCCCAATGAGCTCCCGCTGGCAGAACTTCCCTGACAGGCATTTGAGAAGAGTCTTGTACCCTGGAGGGAGAGAGCAGCATGGCCTTGGCTGTCCAGAGCAGCAGCACTACAGGGTCAGCGATGCCAGCCCAGCACCTGGGGGACCTCAGGACCTCTGTGTGTCATGCTGAGGGGCTGCACGTGTCTCCATCAGCATCCTCAGGGCTATGGGCACAGCAGCTGTTGTCTCCAGCAGGATCCCTGACCCTGGTCCTTGGCTGACCAAGTGGTAGAGGCACATGCCCTAGATCCCAGCAAAGACCAGGGAAATCCCTGGGTCAGGGCACGTAGCTGCTGAGGAAGACTACCAGGCTGTGACATGGGTCCTGGGGGTGCTGGCAGTCCCTAAGGGTGGTGGAGAGGGGCAGCAAGAGGCAAGCAGAGTCTCCCAGGGCA